TAAGACATTCATTGATGTATTAACACCAAAACTACCAAGCTCGGATTTATTTAAACTTCCTACAATTTTTATTATAATGTGTGCTTGAATGAAGAAGTTTATATAAAAATTTCTGACGAAAACATTTTTATAGCATCAGGAATTGTGAAAGAAAAAATCGGAAACCAGCTATTTTGACTGGTTCGGTAGTTCTAGTGTCAATTAAATAGGATGATTTGCAGCTTTAATAATTAGTAATATCAGTAAGACAACTTACCTCAGATATTATTATGTATTCCGCGTTCTTTTTCAAATAACACGGTTCATTAGCTGTAAACATTTATTTAAGCATATATAAATATATGTATATAAGTATATACAAATATAAATATATGTATATAAGTATATACAAATATAAGTATATGTAAGTATATATAAATATAAGTATACTCAGAACTTACATACTACTTATCTGATTTTTAAAAGGGCTTGTCAATAAACGAATACAAACTCAAGACCACTGAATTTTTGTCCTCACCTGCAAACCAGTCTTAAGTTTATGTTACTGCCTCTAGATGCTACTAATATGCAATAGTTTAAGAGAAATATAGGAGGTACGATTTAGCAGACCACACAAATTAGGCAACCTTCCTCTAATATCGTGTCTCACTCACTGTAATAAAGATTTCGATCATAATTTAGTAAATATGGATGTTATTCACTTCTTTTCATTTTAAATGGAATTCGAATTTCCTGTTATCGATATTTCGCAATTAATGATAATCACTGTAGCTGTGAAAGAAATCCTAGTGGATCCGATGATGAATTTAAAAGAATCGAGAGAAGAACAAATTAAGTTTACGCATGCGCTTATTTGGTCTAATATTCTTGAGTACTGCTATGTCTATTCGATAATAGCGTCTCAACTGCAATTGGCGCAGCTTGAGTATATTAATCGGTTCTCCAGACGCTCTTGTCCTATCCGGACATGTCTCCCGGCAATTGCTTTCTATTTAGAGTAAATTCTCCCCAATTTTCCTTCAAATTGGAGACATAAATGGATAACTTGAGAAGAGGAAATACGATTATTCAAGCCTTGGAGCTCGTTGTTATAGTTGTCGACAACTATAACAACGAGCTCCAAGGCTTGAATAATCGTATCTCCTCTTCCCAAATTATCCATTTCTGCATACAAGCTGAGGGACAATTGGAGAGTATTTACCGTATTGCTGAATACGTACACCGTACATTATGATTTATTTCAACTGCTACGTAGACTATCCAAACTAGCTACCTAATTACAACTAATTATTTAAAATGTTACACATCAAATTTACAGCAGACGTCACGACGTTCGAAGATCTCGCGAATCACCCAATATTCTCCTTCCCATTTTGTAAAAGGATGCGCTTTATGAAATATTGTAATCACGGAGACCGTGGCGAGAGAACAAGCGCGTTACAAGTCCGAGGTCGCGAGAAAGGATTACAGGCGAATGAATGGTCGTTCGCCAGGAGAAATAAATGTGTTACGTGTGATCAGATCTCCCGAAGGAGATATCCAAGGGCGGTTCGTGATGTCGCATGCGAATGGCCATGGCGATTCGGGCCACGTACCGCTGCTAACCGTTAATAAAAGCTTAAAGGACATTATCGTAAGCATTCGTCGGGACATTAAAAAGCGCACGTGCCGTTAACGGTGGGCCCTCGATGCAATTTTAAACAGCTATTTCCGGCCGCTGCCACCTACCGTCCTCGGTGACACATGTCTCCGATGTTGTTACACGGATCCGAGGGATCCGCCCGCCTGAATACCAATCGCAGGGGGATCATGCGGCAAGGGTGATGCCTCTCTGACCCGGGGACGTGTCCTTCGTGCAATCAAAACAAACACTGCCGCGAGTCCGATATTCGTCGGGGTTTACTCTCTTCTTGCCCCTTCATTAACCCTTGGGACACTTGTTTGCCTGGCTAATCATTTAACCAAGACCCTCTCCTAAATTGAAAATACCTTTATGGTATTAAAAACGGTCTCTGAGATCTGGGAACGCTGATCGGATCGCATTAGACCTCTTTGATCCAGGGTTGGGCAATATTTTATTCGGATGACGGATCAGAGGTAATCGACGAATAATATTTTATTCAACATTAGCGAATATATATTTTATCGAATAAAAATTTATCTAGATAACAATTTTAGCCGAATAATAATAATAATAATTTGAATAAAAATTCGAACAAAATATTCGACAAAATATTCGATAGAAAGAATTCGTTCGAATAATTATTTAAGAAAAAATATTTACTCGAAACGATTAGAATAATTCACCTTTTATAAATCTTGTATCAAAAATAATGTCTCGGGGGGGGGGGGGGAGACTTAAATAATGGGAAAAATGAGTAATATATCGTGATCTTTTGTAATGTTCATGCCTTTTGTGCAAGATGTACAGTCCCAATGCCTTCAGTATGTCGACATTCGTCCTCAAAGGATTAACAAAGTAGTAACAGAATGTGCACCCCTTTTACGATACGATAAAATCCCTGTCACGATGAACAATCGCTTTCTGAATAATTTTTCTATAGCTTGTACGAACTAAGTTAAATTTTGAATGCAGATCCGCACGAACATTTATACAGGGTGTCCCAGGTTTTAACGTTCAAACTTTGTCAGTATATTCTATGGCACGAAGCAAGAAAAAAATGTTATGTAAACATAGGTCATATAGAGCTTTATTAAGAAGTTATAACAAAACTTCAGAATAGGATTAATAATGCGTTCGATGAAATGAAAGAGAATAGAAACGAAATTCGCACGGTCATAAATTCGATCTTCGATCGATGTCAATCATGTATTGTCAACAACGATAGACATTTCGAAATGTATTAATAAACACAGCTTGCATAAACACACGGCACGTGCTGATCTATTCAAGCCAATGCTGGCAGTAACAGCAAGTTGATTACTATTCCTATATTCTGAATTTTTGTTATAACTTCTTAATAAAGCTCTATATGACCTATGTTTACATAACATTTTTTTCTTACTTTGTGCCATAGAATACACTGATAAAGTTTGAACATTAAAACCTGGGACACCCTGTATAATCGGTCTGCAGATTCTTCTAAATATAATAAAATAGAATTGACCGAATCGAATCGAGCATTGAATTAAAAAGTGAATCGGAAAGTCTTCCAGAGACATCGAAAATCGTCGCATAAATCGTGAATGGAACAAGGAACGCAATTAGCGGCTACGGGAATGAAGTTTCGCGAAAACAATAGGCACGAAGTTGCGTCGGGGGTGGCAGAGCAGAAAGAATGTGTGCGCAACGAGTCCGGCGAGGGAGGTGTAGCGTGTTTAGTGGTTTCGGATCAATAGGGAGGCGATCCGAAAGAGAAAAGAGAAGTGTCCATTATGGCATTAAGCGCGCGAGAGGGTCTCCGGTCTCATGGGGAGAAAAGTTTTGGCAATGATTAACCGAAGTCCCGGACTCTCCGGCGGCCTTCGGCGGCCTTCGATGAGTCGACGCCGAAGGAACTCGCCTCGCTTGATTTACCAAGAATAATTGTGTCCCGACGGCAACTTCTCGTCGCGGAACTTCGCTGCGGGAGTGTTCGATCAGATTCCGTGAGCCGTGATACGACAACCTGATATTTCATTTTTGTTGGCAGATGAAGGAACGATCTTGATTTCTGACGAATCTTCCTATACTTCTTGATCCACGAATCATCCATTATTTTGTTGAAAATGTATATTATTTTTTCTCTCTCTCTATTTATTTGAATTTAGGATATTTTATAGTAATAAACATGGGAGGCAACCATTATACACGATAGAATCAACAACTCTAGCGTTGCGAAATTGATTAATTTCAACAATCCGCGATCTGGTTTTTCTCTGTATTAATCCTTTAGATAATTATATAATATATGTTAATAATAATTAAGAATCCTTTACATAAGATTCTTAATTTAACTGACATTTATACTAACGACGTCGACTTGTTCATTAATAATTTTAATAAATTTAAAACTCGACTATATATAATGTTATTAGAAGCTAGGATGTCTAGTTTGTGTTTGATTTGTATACTATAATAAAAATTATTTCTT